TTCTCGGGTTAGCAACACTATCTTCTCAGGCGGCCAAGCAAACAAGTTAAGGGAGAAACACAATGATTTCTCATGAGACACACACCAATATTATCGTAAGGAATTTTGAGTCATAGCCACTTCACATGACTAACCCCTCCATGGTTTCATTTCACCACTCCAGAAATCTAACTAACAGGATAATTGTGAACTGGTTTTATTTTTACTTTGGTGTTAGATCTGGCCAGAATGGGGATAGGAAGATTGTGTAATGCATAATCCCAAACAGATTCCTTTGGGACCCCCTTTTATATTCCTTCAGCTCCAGAAACAAGCCTGCGTCCCTCCCTGGGGCTGCTGCCATCCATTCTTCAACTGCCCTGTGACCCATACTAGAATGCAATGCAGGCTCATGGCTCTCTAACTACTTTCTTGTCGCTAAAATACACAGAATGCTTTGTGGGATTGTAATATTTCAGAGATAGATGCTGGATTTAAAAATAAATTTTAAAAAGTACAGAAATAATGGAGTGATATTTACTTTCATAATGCACCATAACGTAGATGGGTCAAGTGTCATCTCTGAGCTCTTTTTTCCAACTTCTCTCCTCTCCTGAGGATCTGAGCTTCATCCAAACATCCCTTTTAATCCAGGGACTGATGCTACTCAGTCTCCTCCCTCCTCCAGCAGAATTTCCCCTAGATTCTCTCAACCCATCTTGCAAATAGCCTTGTTCAGGACACAAAAATGAAAACAATGTATCTTCACGTTGTATGATGGCACTAGGAGGTTTTGCTTGTACATTTTCTCAAATTTGTACTTACCTCATGTACTGTGACCAAATTGTTATTCCGAAATTCATGCATAGAATGTTTAACATAGGTTGAGGAGTCTTCAGAAATAGGGTGGGTTTTATTCCATGGAATTCCATACAGCAAAGAGAATGAATCTACACACAGTTGTAGGTAAATGAGGAAACTCAGACATGGAAGAAATGATTGTATTGTGTAAAGTCCAAAACCAGGAAAACCTAAACACGTAGGGTTTTAGGTCAGGACACGTGTTGCCCCTCGGTGCATGCAGGCAGTAAAACAGAAGTGAGGCTTCTGCTCACATCTTTGCTTCTTGAAACCCTGAGTAAGTTTTAGGGCCAGAAGTCAGGCAGAACTGGATTCAAATCCTGGTTCTACAACTGAGTGACTTTGAACAATTTAAACACTCTGTGTCTTGGATTTTTCCACCTATAAAATGGGACTAATAACACCTTCCTCAGAGGGTTGGTGTGAGAAGTAAGCGAAACAATGTGCATAAAGTGCCCTGTAGCATTCGCGTAGGTGCTGTAATAAATCTGAACTATTATTATCCCCGCCCTGTTGCCGATGGTAAGAGTACAGATGAGAAGGAAAGGGAAGGACCAAACTAGGCTTATGATCAAAGATGTGTAGAATCCACCAGAATGCTCTACTGAAGAGTGCTGTTTCTTCCCTTCCTACTGCCCACACAGTTTCCTGAATCTTCCTGCCTACAAGTGCAGGCTGGGCCAACACAGCCAAACAAAGCTATTTGGGGCCCGTCCTCGAAGGCCCTGCTAGAGGACCTGATACTGGTCTGATAAATTAATTTGTACTAATGCTTTCATAGGGGTTGCTATCAGCTTACAGGGTTATCCTCCTGGTGATGTGAGTTACAGTTTAAGTAGAACATTATGGACACTCAAGACCATGACCTAAGCTGGGTGTAATTTCACCTTTTCCCAGAAAGGTGGGGTGGGAGGGTGGTGAAGAATACAATACACACAGGACGGTGTTAAGGTCAAGTCTGCAAGAACAAGCCAGAGACTGGGAAGTCACAGGCTGTAGGGACTCTGCATGCTTTCCTTACTGACTACAGGAAGAGAGCAGGCCAGAAGTCCTCAGGGAAGAAAGGTGTTCCTCTGGGAGGCCCTGTCAGCTAGGAACCATGGCTCCCAGGAGACCAGAGCAGAGAAGCAGAGTAAGAATTTTTGGTTTTGATTTTGTACTGTTAAATGAGGTCTTAACGTATCCACACAGGGAATATTGCTCAACAGTGAACAAAAGAAACTGCTGATGCGTGCAACACCTATACTAACAGAAAGCCTGGGACTGGAGGTGGGATTGAGTCAAAGGGGCACCAGGAGCTGGTCACGGTTGCTAACATCTGTAATCCTAGCACTCTGGGAGGCCACTATGGGAGGATAGCTTGAGCTCAGGAGTTAGAGATCAGCCTGAGCAAGAGTGAGATCCCATTTTTACTAAGAGTAAAAAAATTAGCCAAGTGTTGTGGCAGCTGCCTTATAGTTCCAGCTACTCAGGAGGCTGAGGCAAAGGGATCTCTTGAACCCACGAGTTTAAAGTTGCTATGAGTTACAATGACACTATGGCACTCTCAAAAAAAAAAAAACAAGAAAGAAATAGTCAAAGCAGCACCAAGGAATGTTTTTAAGTGATAAAAGTATGCTTGAAAGTATCTTGTTACAAGGGTATATGCAGTTTTCAGATCTCATTGAACTACACACGTAGAATAGGTACAACTGATTTTACGCACAATATCCCTCAAAAAAGTTGATTTTAAAGGGAAAAAAGTGATGTCTCAGTCATAGAGGTTGTTCAACATTGAGAACATGCTGCAAGGCCTATAGGAGAATTTCAGCAAGTCAGCCTCCACCGTTTACCTTGTGAATTGACACGTACCTATTACTTTATGGTTAATAAAGCACTTTCTCCACTTGTGCTCATTACATCCACCCTATGAGGTGGGCATGATTAATCAGATTTTATAGGAAACAGAGGTATAGAATGGCTAAGGGAATTGGCTGAAGTCTTTGGACTCAGAACCCTGCTATCTTTCCATTGTCCAAGACTTTCCTGGAAATGGCCTCAGAGATTGTCCTGTCCTAGGGAAACAGAGGTCCAGAGAGCATAGATAACTTGACAATGTTGTGCTTCTAGTTAAGGACAGAGCCTAAAATGAAAGCTGTGCCTTCCTCTCACAACAAACATAACTAGAACATTCCTAGTGGGGGTCCTCCTGAATGGAAACAGAGGTGGACTTTTATTCCCCATATCCGAAATTTTCAGACCTGGATAGAAAAACAAACCTAAAACAAAAGCAACACTTCTTTCCAGGGCTCTGGACTCCACCTCTCCCTGCATAAAGCAGTCCCCCACCCCACCCCCTCGAGTCCCAAGGGTCTTGTAACTTTAACAAACTACAGCACCAAGCACATGCATTACCTCACCACAGTCTGGCTGATTTCCTAGCAGCAATTGTCCAAAGCCTGCTCCATTTCCCCCCTTCTGCTGGCTTTGTACCCTTCGCCCATTCTTCCTTGCTGAAGTCACACCACTGTGACCCCAGTGAGCCAGCAGGAGCTGCCTCCTCCTTCCCAGGGTCCCAAACATGAGAAAGGGGGCTCTGGTGCAAAGCAGTGTACACAGCATGGCCCTTTCTGTACACATATTTTAAAAGCATGTGTGGAGGGGTAAAGGAGAGAGAGAGGGAAAATTATATGACCACGGTACATAGAGGATAACAATTCTGGGAGGAATCACAAGAAAACAGTTGATGGTGGTTATCCCAAGGGAAGAAACAGTTGATGGTTGTTACTCTGGGGGACAGAAATTGGATGGTTGAAGGGAGGGTTGTGCTTTCCCATTTTTTTTCTTTCTGTTCAACATGAATTTTCTAACCTACATACATGGTTAGGCCAATAAGGACAATCTCTACCAAGATATTATGGGCCACATTTGTTTTATACTTCTATGTATAAGAAAGAAGAAAAACTGAGAATCATTCATTTTTTAAAATAAAGGAAGCATCTATAATTCACCACCTCCATTTCTTCTTCACAGTGGCCTAAATACACAACAATTTAAATGATTGGAAAACTATGGACTGTTGACCCAGATGGGATGGAGCCAGGGAGGGGTGAAAAGTGCAGGCTCCGGGCCTGTTCTTCAGCAAATGCATCACTTCCCTTTGAGCTGCACTGGCCCCTGTGTGCACCTTGGCTGGGGTCCACTCCTGCATGCCATTTAATTCATCTATGTGCTTCTTCACGCCCCCAAGACTCCGGGGAGGAATAATTTGTATACGCTATTGTATTTTTCTTCGTCACTTTCAGAGCTTAATATATACATAGTATTAGAGAAACTAAAACAACATTTATTAAATAGAAGATCAGGCTGTCTCCAGAGGGTGGGAAGGCATGTAGCTCATCTCCACTAGATAGGGCTAAAATAACCTTCCCTGCCTCTTGTACTCAGAACCTTCCCCAATTCTTCACATCTGCTTTGTAAGGGCACGGCAGGGTTCAAACTCCTTCACTTGTTTACCAAGACCTTCCCTGCTCTGGCCCACACCTGCCTTTTTGCCCTGGCTCCCAAGACAAATCCTACGCCTCAGCAGTCAAACTGGTCCATTCACCACTCCCTGAGCGCTCCTTGAGGCTCCCTGTCTTCAGGCTCTTGCTCATGCCTTTCCCAATCTCTACCACTGAAAACCCAGGTCACACGGTCTTCTCCCTGAAGACTCACCTAACGTGCCCTGCTGGCTGGGCGTGCTTCCTCTTCTAGCCTCCGCAGGTGCGGCACTTAGGGTTGTACCCCACCTCGCATTGTGTTCATCTCAGCCTCCCCTACTAGAGGGTGAAGATGTGTCTCTTACCCCTGCCTTTCCTGGTGTCTATTACAGTTCAGCCTGCAGAAAGGGAAAGAAGGAAAATAAGGGAGTTCAAGGCAGAGGTAGAATTAATTAGGTTAAAGGCTGGATCAAAATCGACGTGGGTTTAGGATCAGAACTGGGACAGGGTTGGTAAATTCCTAGTCCCACCCCACTAGGCGGCGCCCGCCCCACTAGGCGGCGTCTCAGTCAGGTCAAGACGTCTCCGGATTTTGAAGTTTATTACCTGTGTAACAGGTTTCCTTCCTGCCCTACTGTCCCTTTAAGAAGGTGAACCAGGTGAGACCTAGGCTCCTCCTTCCGCCATGGCCCCGCCCCCCACCCACGCCCGACCCACCCAGTCCCTTGCGACCTGGCCCAGCGGTCCGGGCCGCGGTCCCAGGTCCGGGCCCCGCGCCATGGAGCGGCGCTGGCCCCTGGGGCTCGGGCTGCTGCTGCTCTGCGCCTCGCTGCCCCCGGGGGCGCGAGCCATAGAAGGTAGGGACCCCAGCCCTCGCGGCTTACTCCCGCCCCGGCCGGCACCTCCTGCGCAAGCCGGCATTCCTAAGGAGCCCCTCCTTCCCGCGCCCCTCTCCCGCTCCTCCCTTGTTTTGCCTGGCTGAGGGCTATGGAGTGGCCAGGCCCATCTTTGATCTTTAACCCCAAATGGCTGCTGTCCCGGGTCAGTCACCCCCTCCCTTGCTGGCCAGCAGTTTGTGCCTCTGGGTGGGGAGGGAGCTCATGACCACTGCCAGGAAGCCGCGTCTGCACCCGCGCCCAAACCTTGGTGGGATCCTTCATTCCCACGCAGCCCCAGACTCGGCTGCCCACCCCAGAGATCTGAGCCCTCAAAAGTCAAAGGTGGGACGTCGTCTCCTGCCAACCTAGGCCAGGCCAGGAACCTACGGCTGGCGGAAGAGTTAGGACTGGCCTACGGCTTGCACATCCTCTCCTGCCCCGCTCGCACAATTCCCAGGCTCTGCTCTGTGCGGTATATCCCCGTCCATAGCCCCAATCACTGGCCTGAGCAGCCCTTTGACCCTGGGATTGAGCCTCCCCTTCTCTGCCCCTCGAGGCTTGCAGCCGGTGGGTGCCCCAGGAGCGATGAAAATCAGATGGAGTGGCTCGGCACCTGTGGCTCAAGCGGCTAAGGCGCCAGCCACATACACCTAAGGTGGCGGGTTCGAATCCCCAGCCCGGGCCGGCCAAACAACAATGATGGCTGCAACCAAAAAATGGCCGGGCGTTGTGGCGGGCGCCTGTAGTCCCAGCTACTTGGAAGGCTGAGGCAGGAGACTCGCTTGAGCCCAGGAGTTGGAGGTTGCTGTGAGCTGCGATGCCATGGCACTCTACCCAGGGGGATAGCTTGAGGCTCCGTCTAAAAAAAAAAAAAAAGGAAAAGAAAATCAGATGGAGTTACTTTTTCTCCTGCTTCTTGCCTTGACCTGGGTCAACACCCAGCACCCCTTCCCCCTACTCTGCCTCCCTCCCTGTCACTCAGAAAGAAGTCTGTGTAAGCCCTGGAACTCTTCCCTCCTCATTCCTGGGCTCTTTTCTTCCTGTAAGCCCCAGGAAATCACAGCTCTTAGGAACAGGATATGTGGCCTGAGGCTGGACCCCCAGAATTAGGAATGCAGGTTGCATGGGCACCTCCTCCGAGGTGACAAGACTCCTTTTCTCCCCATCTTCAGTCACTCTGATGGACACAAGCATGGCACAGGGAGAGTTGGGCTGGCTGCCGGATCCCCCGGAGGATGGGGTAAGTGTCAGGAGTGGGAAGAAGCAAGGAAGCCTCAAGGCTGAAGGCCAGTGTGAAATGGGGCAGAGAGGTGGGTGGAGGAACTGAGAAAAGAGCAGGAAAAACTGGAAGTATCTCCTCTGGGAGGGGGAGGGGAGGGGAGGTGAGTCAGACTCCTGAATGGGATTTTGGGGGGGAGGAGAGAGTGCCAGACTTCAGACTAAACCCCAAGTTGAATGCTTCAATGGCCTGGCTTCTCCAGTGCAGACCTGTGAATATTGAGAATATCAAGGAGGGGGAGATAAGTTCCCATCCCCTGGGGAGAGGATACACCATGCTGGGGGTGGATAAAGGCTGAGGCCACTGCTTTGCTTGAGGAAGGACTGAAACAACAGAAAATCATTTCAATCTGAGATCCATCCATCCCAATAGAGTTGCATGGATAATCAGGGAACCCCAAAGTATCCAAATTTTTTCCAGAGAGGTAAGCCAAAGCTTTCATCAGATTCTCCAAAGGGTCTTTGATGCCCCCAAAGTTAAGAGTTATTCCCCTGGAGGTCTCTAAGCCCTGATACCTTCCTAAGCTGTCTCTGTCCCTACGCAGGCTCCATAGACACTACAAGTTTCAGTTGTTTGCAGGTGGCTCCACGTCCCTTCCATCCTTGAGTGTTGCTAAGACCCCATGAACAGAGGTAGATTGTGGGGTGACTCCCAGAGAGCATATTCAGACTTAAAGTCCAGAGAACACCTCTAGTAATGTAGAAAAAACCAAACTAAGTTCCTTCCCTACTACAGGGTGTCCCTAAAGTCACCATACATAGGAAAGAATGAGAAATTGTAGCAAAATGTACCTTTAATTATAAAATATTCATTACAAAATTTTTCAAAGAGTTGGCTATCACATAGGGAATATTCAGTAAATCTTGTAAAATTTTGTAATGAGTATGTTATAAATTATGGTAGATTTAGCTACAGTTTCCCATTTTCCCTATATATGGTGACTTTAGGGATGACTTTTGGAAAACCCAGTATATTCTCACAACACAAATCACTCTGTGACCTCTGGTCACCAAAATCTGTGTAGAGACTTGGCACCCATACTCAGTGGTTAGGGCGCTAGCCACATACACTAGGGCTGGTGGGTTGAAACTTGCCCGGGCCACCTAAACAACGACAACAACAACAAAAATAGCTGGGCATTATGGTGGGTGCCTGTAGTCCCAGCTACTTGGGAGGCTGAGACAAGAGAATCACTTAAGTCCAAGAGTTTGAGGTTGCTGTGGGCTGTAATGCCACAGCACTCTATCAAGGGTGACATAGTGAGACCCTGTCTCAAAAAAAAAAAAAAAAAAAGTGTGTAGAGATTTTTCCTCAGTAGCAATCAATTCTCCAACTGATTCTTGAGCGGATACCTCTAATTTTATTTGACTCTGACTCTGTCCGTAGATAGCCTCAGGTTGAGGGCTCAGCCCCACAACATTACCTCCCACCTCAGACACCAACTGCAAGTAATAAGTTGTCACCTATACTTCTGTTTGATAGGATGCAAACTGGGGTTTCCATGACCTCCTCATGTTTGATGAATTTACTAGGAGAGCTCACAGAACTGGGGGAAACATTTACTTAAGTGTACTGGTTTATTATAAAAGACATCACAAGGGGTACAAATGAGCAGCCAGATGGTAGAGATGTGTGAGACAGGTGTGTGGTAGGGGAGCTGCCCTCTAGGAACCTCCACATGTGCTGCTCCCAGAGCTCCCTGAACCTTGTCCTTTGAATTTTTAGAACATGATTGATTAAATCACTGTCCACTGGTGATCAGCTTAATCTTTAGCCCCACTTTCTTCCCAGTCCTCCAATCTCAAGGTTGGTACTCCCGGGGTCCTGGATCCCCCAGCCTTTAGTCAGATCATTAGCATAGAAAAAGAGACTATGACTTTGGAGACTCCCAGGGTTTTAGGAGGTGTTGACAGAGTATATATCTTACAATATCATGGTGATCTTTCTGCTACATAGCAGAGCTGGCCACAGAACCATTGAAGGCTTCCTCAGTTGCTACAACCTCTAGGACCCTGGTCCTGATCCTCCTTCTCTTTGTGTTTTCTTTTTTACTCCAGTACTTGGGACTTCAATCCAGCATCTACTTTATTCTTTCCTTCTGGCTTTAGGGCCCTCGTTCCTCCATTCCTTGCTCTCCCACAGAGTAGCCTATAATTAGAATTAATAGACTAAACCATATCCTCCAGGAGGGGCTATTAGGAAATCCTGGATTAGGCCAGCCCTAATAGGTGCCTTATCTCATAAACCAGCTAATCACCCCACAAGCATGGCTGCAGGTCCATCTGCTGGCTCCTACGGGCCTTCCTGGCACCCCTGTCACCTCTATCCAAGTAACTCTTACCTAATTGGGCTGGAGTAGAAGCAAGGCCCTATTCTCAGCTTAGGCAAAATACCCTTGCAAACTAGGAGGAGAAGAAGACAGCCAGCAGTCACACACTCCCTCCGTCTGCCTTGTAGCCTCTCTTCCCCAACTTCTCAAAACAACCCCCACCCACACACACACATTTGGGTTCAGGCTCTGCAGAATGCACCCATGTGGCAGCCAGCAATGCCTGAGTGATAAAGGAAGACATCCTTATTGCTGATCCTGGGCAGCTGGTTCTCCCCCCATCTGTCACTACTGGAACTGGGAGAGGCAAGTTACAGCTGGGAACATCTGCTTCTCCTGGCTCCAGCTGTGGCAGGAGCCATCTGGCTAATGAACTGCACATTAGCCACCCACCACCCTGTCCACCTGCCCCACCCGGACCTCCCCTTCGGGCTTCCCCAACACAGCAGACTCTTGGTGCCTTTTCATTCAGCTTCTTGGCCTTTCTGACATGCTTTGCCCAATTTTTTTTTTTGAAGAGACAGAGTCTCACTTTGTCACCCTCGGTAAAGTGCTGTGGCATCACAGCTCACAGCAACCTCCAGCTCTTGGGCTTAGGTGATTCTCTTGCCTCAGCCTCCCGAGTAGCTGGGACTACAGGCACCCACCACAATGCCCAGCTATTTTTGTTGTTGTTGTTGCAGTTTGGCCAGGGCCGGGTTTGAACCTGCCACTCTCAGTATATGGGGCTGGCACCCTACTCACTGAGCCACAGGCACCGCCCCCCTTGCCCAATTTTTGGACTGCCCAACATCATACAAAAATATGCCTCACAGCTGCATATATTTCTTTTTCTTCCCTTGTCCCAAAGCTGAGAGTAGGGGTAAGAGTCTGCATTGTAGTGAAGTGAAAATCAAGAGAAAGGGAACTTCCCAAGGGTCTCAGTCTCTTTTCTATTAAATTATGTGGTTGCAACCAAAATATCAATGTACTATTTAATAGAACATGAGAGTTTTTTTCTTAAATATATCTGTCAAAGAAAATACTTAAGAATAATTGAAAATATTTTTTTGAAGATGAATGAAATGGGACCCTTGTCTTACCAGCAGATATTAGAGCATCAAGTACAAAATGTGGCACTGAACTAGATTGCATGGGTCAACTGAACTCAACACAGAATCCAAAAATGAGCTCACATCCATGAGATTTGAGTATGTGATAACACTGGAATTACGATGCAATGTGGAAAGGGTTACTAGTCAACTAATTGACAACTGGATATTCATAATTTTTTTGAAAAAATCTAAATCTAAAAACACACAAAAATGTAGAAGAAAATATAGATCTTTATAATCTTGGGATGTGAAAACTTCCCAAGCAAAATAGACATCCCAGAAATCGGAAATGGAAAAATTAAAAATGTTATTATATAAAATAGATTATACAGCCAGACATGATGGCTCACAACTGTAATCCTGGTACTCTAGGAGGATGAGGCAGGTGGATTGCCTCAACTCAGGAGTTTGGGACCAGCCTGAGCAAGACCCTATCTCTAAAAAAAAAAAAAGAGCTAGCCACTGATGCTTGTAATCCCAGCTACTTGGGATGCTGAGAAGAGAATCACTTGAGCCCAAGAGTTTGAGATTGTTGTAAGCCATGATGTCACAACACTCTACCAAGGGTGACAAAGTGAGACTGTTTCAAAAAAAAAAAAAAAAAAAACAGAAAATTGATTATACAACATATGTCCCTATGAAAGATAACAGCAGCAAATTTAAGTGGCATGGCAGACAGGGAGGAAATATTTGAAATATACATTTCAAGCAAATGATTAATATCTGTAATGTGTAGGAGGAAAAAAATAATCATCCAAATGAGTAATCAAAAGAGGGTATCAGACAAAGGTTACTAACAGGTGGTTACATAAAAACACAAATAGCTTAAAAGTGCAAACGATCTTCCTCACAGAAATGTATATTTAAATAGTATGAAGCTGTGTTTTAACTATAGGATATCCAATGTTGATAAGGTTTTGAGAAAATGAGCCCTCTTGCACTGATGGTGAAAATACAAATTAATGAAGCCTTTTTGGAAGATAATTTGACAGTATCTTATAAAATTTTCAGTATGCCTACCTTTTGATATGGCAATTCTACAGAAACTTACATTAATATTTACATGTTTTCTTTAAAAACAAAAAACTAGAAACCACCTAAATGTCTAATAATAGAGGAATGATTAAATAAATAATGATACATCCATACCATAGAGTATTATTTATGAATTGCTAGAAAGAATTAGATAAATCTATACATATTCATGTGGAGATCTTTCAAAGACATATTATTTGTGAAAATGGAAAGTAGATTACAAACTAACATTGTATGATCTCGTTTTTGTTAAAAGAAAAATACATAGAAAGATTCAAACGTTTCTCTGTGGAGACATGAAAAGTTTTACTCCAAATTATTTAAGAGTGGCTACCTCTGGACTGAGGGTGGAAGGATGAGGGGGGATTAAACTTCTTATTCTATGTGAATCTTTATTATTTGACTTTTTACAAAAAGCACAGGGAGGCATAATGATTAAGAGTGTGAACTCTGGTGCCTGAAATGTCTGGCTGTCCTAGCTGAGTGCCTTGAGCAACTCACTTAACCTCACTGTGCCTCAGTTTCCTCATGGCAAGTGTTTGAAATAGGCCCCTAATAAGAACTCTATTAGCCATTATTATTACAAAGTTAAAATTTTTTTAATGTAAAAGAAGTTAAGGAGAGCAGGCTAGATGATGTCTGGAAGTCCAGCTACCTTTGCCAATTGCTGATTTTGATAATGGCTGTACCTGGAAGGAATATTGGAGAGGGCAAGATTTTCCTATATGGAGAGTTCTGTGCTTATTCTTACCCTTCAAAAGCTTAGGGGCTTTAATATTAATAAGTCTCTTCTCTGAACAAATTGGGAGGAGCATTTTGTGAGTGAGCTTTGCTTTGGGGATACCTGACAAACTCTGCTGATGAAATAGCTAAAAATTGGTGCTCAAGCTCTTATAGTTGGCCCAGACTGACTAAAGATGTTAAGGGGTTAATGTCTTTCCTATCCTATATCCAAATAAATTATTGACCCTAGACATTTAACCTGCTATGCTGGAGTGGATGGGTGGTGAGGGGACAGGAAAAGTAGCATGACCTGGGGTCTCTGGCACCATCTTCCTCTCCATCAGCTCTGAAAACTGAGGGCTTAAGGAGCAGGTGATTATCTGATACCTGACTCTGATTCTCTTTTCACAGTGGAGTGAGGTGCAGCAGATGCTGAATGGGACACCCCTGTACATGTACCAGGACTGCCCGGTACAAGAAGGCGGAGACACTGACCACTGGCTTCGCTCCAACTGGATCTACCGGGGGGAGGAGGCATCTCGTGTCCATGTGGAGCTGCAGTTTACTGTGCGGGACTGCAAGAGCTTCCCTGGGGGAGCTGGGCCTCTTGGCTGCAAGGAGACCTTCAACCTTCTGTACATGGAGAGTGACCAGGATGTGGGCATTCAGCTCCGACGGCCCTTGTTCCAGAAGGTGCTGCCGCCCCTCCATACTCAGTCCTGATGCTTATCCCTGCCTAGCTCCTTAACATGACCCCAGTCAACCAAGGAAAAAGAGAGAAGGTGTAGGATCAGAAAAAGAACGTGGCCCCAGGAATCAGAAGGGCTGCTTTTTTTTTGCAGTTTTTTGGCCAGGGTCAGGTTTGAACCCACCACCTCTGGTATATGGAGCCGGTGCCCTAAGAAGGGCTGCTTTTGAGTACCATTTCTGCTGTGCCCTGACTCCGAGGGTATGCTCAGGAGAGCGTACTGGCATGTAAAAGAGTGAGGAGCATTTTATGATAGGATGTGCTCTCATTTCTTTCAAAAGAGAAAATGTTGTAAAGTTTATTAGTGGTAAATTAATTATGACACACTCTATAACTGATCGCCTCATTGGCACTAGAGCAGGAACACCTCTGAGTGATGGAAACTTTATGGACTGTAGAGTCCACTGCCTCGATCCCAGTCCTGGCCCTGCCATGGAACTTTCTTAGCATTAGTTTCCTCATCTGTTAAGTCAAGATGACAAGCCACGTGGGCTAAATAGCATTGTGCGCACAGCACACTTAGCTCTTCATTCATGGTTGTGCAGATTGTAAAACATTAAGCAGAAGCAGAGAATCATTCCTGAGGCTTGGGGAAGAAGCAGTTGCCAGTGCTCCCCTCTTCCCCCCACCTTCTTCCAGGTCACCACGGTGGCTGCAGATCAGAGCTTCACCATTCGAGACCTTGCCTCTGGATCCATGAAGCTGAACGTGGAGCGCTGCTCCCTGGGCCGCCTGACCCGCCGTGGCCTCTACCTCGCTTTCCACAACCCAGGTGCCTGTGTGGCCCTGGTGTCTGTCCGGGTCTTCTATCAGCGCTGCCCTGAGGCCCTGCACAACTTGGCCCATTTCCCTGACACTCTCCCTGGACCTGCAGGGTTGGTGGAAGTGGCAGGGACCTGCTTGCCACACGCACTGACCAGCCCCGGGCCCTCCGGTGCACCCCGCATGCACTGCAGCCCTGATGGCGAGTGGCTGGTGCCAGTGGGACGGTGCCAATGCGAGTCTGGCTATGAAGAAGGCAGTGACGGCAAGGGCTGTATTGGTAAGGATAGAGATAAAGAGAACCCCCGGGGTACATTTGGGCGGGTCTCCTGGGTGCCATGGCAAAAAAAGAGGCAATTTCTCCCTCTCAGCTATTTTTAACCCAAGTGCCCCAGAGCATGTGGAGGTGTTTTCAGCACAAGGGATTGGGGTGAAGGTGGTGGTGCTTCTGCGTGTGAAAATGTTACAAAGCCACGGCTCTGCTGCGTTCGCTCTCCAGCCTGCCCCAGCGGTTCCTACCGGACTGACATGGACACACCCCATTGTCTCAAGTGCCCCCAACACAGCACCACAGAGTCTGAGGGTGCCACCATCTGCATCTGTGAGAGTGGTCATTACAGAGCTCCTGGGGAGGGCCCCCAGGTGGCATGCACACGTGAGTCCAGGGGGTGGGGCCTGGCCACCTGGCAAAAGGCGATGGCCCTTTGCTGATCCCTTGTCAGGGTCAGAATTTGCCAGAGCTTGTCAGCTCCTGTAGATAGTAGGGGTGTCAGGCACTTCCAGCCCCTGCCCTGGCTCCCGTGCTTCCTAGAAGAATGCAGAGATATATTCAAGGGACTTTCTCTTCACTGGGAACCAAATGTCCCCATGAAGAGCTGGGTGGTAAATGGAGGCAGGGTCTGTGGCCTGGATGACAACAAGGCTAGCTTCTACTGATGGCTTGTCCTCTCCTGCAGGTCCCCCCTCAGAGCCTCGAAACCTGAGCTTCTCTGCCTCAGGGACTCAGCTCTCATTGAACTGGGGGCCGCCAGCAGATGTGGGAGGACGCCAAGATGTCCGATACAGCGTGCTGTGTTCCCAGTGTCAGGGCCTTGCACAGGATGGGGGGCCCTGCCAGCCCTGTGGCAAGAGTGTGCGCTTCTCTCCAGGGGACAGGGGGCTCACTGCACCTGCTGTGCGAGTTGAAGGCCTAGAACCCTATGCCAACTACACCTTCAAGGTCGAGGCCATGAATGGAGTGTCGGGGCTGGGTGGCTCCAGCCGTGCCAGTGCTTCCCTCAGCATCAGCATGGGACATGCAGGTGAGAGACTCAAGTGTGCCAGGATTGGTAGAAGAAACTGAGCGTAGGGCCATAGGGACACAACAATGGCCAGGGAGCAATTGGAGAGCTACTTACATTTTCCCTGTTGCCTCCCAAATCTGACTGTATCTTTCTGGACCCCCAGAGTCACTGTCAGGCTTGTCTCTGAGGCTGGTGAAGAAAGAACCGAGACAGCTGGAGCTGACCTGGGCAGGATCCCGGCCACGTAGTCCTGGGGGTAACCTGAGCTACGAGTTGCACGTGCTGAACCAGGTCAGGTCTCCAAAGTCAGGGCCTGGGCACACTCCACCCACAGCCTAGGGTGCCAGGTGGGAGGAATCCACCCAAAGTAAACTGTGTATGGAGGAAAAAGTCTATATAGGACCCTATCCTCCCCATTCTGCTCCCACAAGCTTCTGTCACATCCACCCAAGCCTGGCTCAGCAGGGCCCAATTAATGCTAGTCGCACCTACAGGATGAAGAAAGGCATGAGATGGTTCTGGAACCCAGGGTTTTACTGACAGAACTGCAACCAGATACCACATACATCGTCAGAGTGCGAATGCTGACACCTCTAGGCCCTGGCCCTTTCTCCCCTGACCATGAGTTTCGAACCAGTCCACCAGGTGGGATATCTCATGTTCTGCCCCAAGTACACATGAACCTGTGTTCTCACTCACTGAGCCCTCCCCTTTCTCTACACACGTGCCACACACACCTGAACTCTGGCGTAGGGGATGGACATGTGCCTGGGGCCCTGTGTTTATCCCCAACCCTGTGAGCTATGGTCCCCCCAGACTTCCTCACCCATGTGCCTTCAGTTTCCAGGGGGCTAACAGGAGGAGAGATCGTGGCCATCATCTTTGGGCTGTTGCTTGGGGCAGCTCTGCTGCTCGGGATCCTGGTCTTCCGGTCAAGGTGCTGGTTCTGCCCTTCCCACCTGCCACCTTGGGTCCCTTTGCCTGGTCTAGAGCCCCTGACTGTAGACCCGATGACCTTGCCACCCCATGGTGCCAAAACTCATCCTGCACTCCCAGCCCATGTGGTTTCTGGGGAAAACTCAGCTGGAGCCTAGTGGCCCCTGCTGTGGTCCTGAGACCCTGAAGAAGCTTGTCCCCAACCCCCATAGGAGAGCACAGCGGCAGCGGCATCAGAGGCAGCGTGATCGTGCTGACGTGGATAGGGGTGAGCCATGAGCACTTTGTGTGCATGTGGGCATGTGTGTGAGAGAGAAAGAGAGAGAAAATAGGCTGGGGGTGCCACTGGGAAGGAAACAAAGGGACCCACATTTGCTAGGCCAGCTCTGGGGGCACAAATAGGGCTTACTGTCCCTAAGGCTCTTGTGTTTTGCTACCTGATTAACTTTGGTTAATTAACTTTGTGCTAATAGCCCCCAGTGGCTCTGATGCAATTATCTCTTAGCTGTTGGTGCTTCTGTTCCATCACTCTGGGCTCTGGACAGCCTTCCCCATCCCCAAGGCAGAGTAGGAGGGGGACTGAAGTCCTCCAAGGCAAGTGGGCTTCCTGCTTGTCACCTCCTTAGGTGCCCCACAGAAGAAGAGTGAGTGATCCATCCAAGTAAAGTGTGGGAATGTGAATGAGGTATGATTGATGGGTGGAGTGAGGATGGGTTGGAAGAAATGAGAGGAGTGGAATGGATCTGCCCTTTGGGTTTGCTCTTCTGGTATGGGTTCTGGCCCACTGGCTAACTTTGGGGAGTGACAACAGAGGACCTGGGAGCATAGACTGGGAGAAGAAAGGCTTAGATGCCAAGGACAGAGACTTCCTCCCACTTCAGCCCCCACACGAGTCACTGGGAAACAGGGAAGGGTGGGGAAGACAAGGGTGTGTTGCCGGCCCCTCCTCCTCACCCTTCCCCCAGCACTCCTGGTACTTCCTGGCTGAACTCCCTTCTCTCCACAGAGGACAAGCTGTGGCTGAAGCCCTACGTGGACCTGCAGGCATATGAGGACCCTGCCCAGGGAGCACTGGAGTTCACCCAGGAGCTCGACCCAGCCTGGCTGATGGTGGACACTGTCATAGGGGAAGGTGAGCCCCGCTGTGCCCAACTGCTGACCCTCTGTGTGGCAGTGCAGAGCCACCAGCAGGCCCCTTCCTTCAAGCCCTACCTTTAGGAGCTCAGGGGCCTCTCCTCTGGCCCAAGAGTTTCCAGATGAGTTTACTCTTTACTTTGCCCTGTGTCATCTTAGAACTTATGCATTCCTATTAGAAATCCCTCCTCAGTTGCCCTGCAGCAGCCTCTGTCTCCACACACTTGCTTCTGTAGTCACTATAGTCTCAGAGTTTTGGATAGGGTGCTGAACACATCAGCTGTGTCCACAGAGGTGCTGCTGGACCAAGGCCAAGGCTGATCTCCCTCTGGTGGTTCCTAAATGTGGGAATAATTAAGAGCCTCTCCAACCTGGCATTCTACCCATCAGGACCTCAGTGTCCTTGGGCTGCCTTGATCCCCTGAGTCACTGTAGGAAATGGATCTGAGCAGAGAAAAACACATGGCAGTATCCTTGCCAGTTGTACAGCCAAGCTGACTGAGCCATGAGAGGAGGAGCTCACAAAAGAGAGGTGGCAATGGTCAACCTCCTCTGTCACCTGGGCGCTAGCCCTGGGCTAGCCTGCCCTTCATGGATACATCCCAGTCCTCACAGGGCTCATTCAGCTGGCATTTACTGAGCACCTGCTCAAGGCAGAAACTGTGCTAACACAGGAAGACAGAGATGAACAAGTTCACTTTGGTTCCACACTCTGTCCTTTCCTGAGATGTTCAATCAGCTACTGATGATTCTGCAGAGAGGAAAAGGGGACTAGAGAGGCCTCTGCCTGTCCCCTGGTGGAGCCTCTCAGGGAATTGGACCATGCCTCTATTTTCTTTTCACCCAGGCGAGTTTGGGGAAGTGTATCGTGGGACCCTGAGGCTGCCCAGCCAAGACTACAAGACTGTGGCCATTAAGACCTTGAAAGACACATCCCCAGATGGCCACTGGTGGAATTTCCTTCGAGAGGCAACCATCATGGGCCAGTTCAACCACCCACACATTCTGCATTTGGAAGGCGTTGTCACAAAGAGTATGAGTAGTGTTCCCTCTGAGCGCAGGGGCACAGAGTGGGAAGGAGGGGCGAGATTGCTGATGTGAAGGGAGAATGGGCTGCCCGGGTGGGAAGTCTGGCCTGTGCTTGATGACAGATGCTCTATGTCCCAGGGAAGCCCATCATGATTATCACAGACTTTATGGAGAATGGAGCCCTGGACGCTTTCCTCAGGGTGAGAAGGATAAGGGGCTAGTGGGGAATGGGATGCCATATGGCCCCAGGCACTTGGGGACAGGCCCTGCCTATCCTCTGACTCGCCCACTCACTCTGCTGCAGGAGCGGGAAGACCAGCTGGTTCCTGGGCAGCTGGTGGCCATGCTGCAGGGCATAGCGTCAGGCATGAACTACCTCAGTGACCACAATTATGTCCACCGGGACCTGGCTGCCAGGAACATCTTGGTGAGTCAGAACCTGTGCTGCAAGGTTTCTGACTTTGGCCTGACCCGCCTCTTGGATGACTTTGATGGCACCTACGAAACCCAGGTTAGAGCCCTGCACACATGGCACACACAGTCGCACATCCTGTTACATGCCAGGTATAATCACACTTGTACAAACACATGGACTGTGCTTATGCAAGCGCCATCACCTTCTACCCCTGTCCCACTTCCCTTCTTAGGGAGGAAAGATACCCATCCGCTGGACAGCACCTGAAGCCATTGCCCATCGGATCTTCACCACAGCCAGCGATGTATGGAGCTTTGGGATTGTGATGTGGGAGGTGCTGAGCTTTGGGGACAAGCCCTATGGGGAAATGAGCAATCAGGAGGTGAGTCTAGAATATTCTGCCCTGTGTCATCCCTAACTCACACCTCACATCTCCTCCCAAAGCCCTCCCATGGTCTTTCCTGCAAAATTCCAACTTCTTCATGGCTCAGTTTTTCTGTATCTTTCTCTGGTCCCTTCACCTCATGTCCTACCCCTTTATTCTTCCCACCCTGGGCAGCATTGCTTAGAAGCTCTATGCAGTGATCTGTGAACCAGGGTTTCTCATGGGCATCCTCCCTGCCCCCTTGCAGGTCATGAAGAGCATTGAGGATGGGTACCGACTGCCCCCTCCCGTGGACTGCCCTGCTCCCCTATATGAACTCATGAAGAACTGCTGGGCATATGACCGTGCCCGGAGGCTCCCCTTCCACAAGCTGCAGGCACATCTGGAGCAATTGCTTGCCAACCCCCACTCCCTGCGGACCATTGCCAACTTCGACCCCAGGTAACCATGCTGGGGAAGGCCTGGGGAATTCAGAGAGCAGATCTAGAAGAATGGAAATGGCATTCAGCCACATCCACCAAGGACTAGGTCCAGGGAGTTCTGGACAGAGTCCAGCACATGAGGCAGGACTACAGTCCACAACTTCAGGAGAGTACAAGAGGTCAGCTCCAGATTACTCACATTTGTAGAACATTGATTCTAGCTAGGCCCAAATTCCCTAACTGCACCTGGGCTGGGGTCTGCATCCTTTCCTTTCTCAGGCTGCCTAACCTGGGACCCTTCTGGACCCATCTGTGCCAATCCCACTGCATTGTGCCCTGTCCCAGTCTGGTACTTGGGTGTGCATACTCTTCCCCATAGGAATGGGAAAATGTTCATTCAACAAGTTTTGGGGAACCTGCTGGTACAAACTCTTTAACGGACATTGGAGAAAAGAGTATGGGCAGCCAGGTTGGGGTAGCAGGGTAGGGGAGGCATGGACAATCTTGTGGGGTCTGGAAAGACTCCCTGGTCACATGGCCAGCCTAGGAGCTGAAAGCTGGCAGGCTGAAGTCAGGGCAGGATGACAGGGCTCGACAGAGCAGCCACCATGATTCTGGAGAGACTGTAGCAGTCAGCACAAAGAGGACCAGCCCTGTGGAGTTTAAATTTCATCCTGAGTGTAGAGAACCTTTTCTTTTTTTTTTTTAGAACCATTTTCTTTTTAAATGGTCCATAAGAGTAACATGGTCTGAATGGCATTTTACCAAAAATATGGCCAAAACATAGAAAATGAACTGGTGGGAGGGGAAAGGAAGGAGATGGGAAAGGCTGTACTTCAAGTGTTTTGTCAGGTGACCAGCTGGCTAGTGGCCTCTGTATCCAACCACCATATATAACCTTGTTTCTGGGAGAAAGTGCACTCCATGTTCCAACCTTTGAGACTATCTTTTGGAGCACAACTCCCTCATGCACTGGAGACTGTGTGCTAATCTTTCTGGAATGTTGGATATTTTTCCCCCAGCAGATTTACTTTGCTAATGGTTTTTGGCTCTGGCTGGCCTAGCACAGGAACACTCATTGTGTTGTGGGTGTCTGAGTGCAGAGAGTCATAGCTGAGGTCAAAGGTGGCAGTGGAGGCTGCTCCAGAACTTCAGCTCTGGAGAAGGCAGGGCGACACCCCACTGCCCAGCCTCTGTTGGCTTCTGCTCCCCTGCCTGCCGCCCCCCCCCCCAGTGTCATTGGGGTCCTTTCATCATTTAACCAGGCCCCCAAACCAGCCACTCCAGTAGGGGATGGGGTCCACTTATGCTGGTTGGGACTCCCAGGCCTGTCCCTTGACTGTCAACCAGACCCCTGCTGTGAGCGCAGACAATGGCCCAGCTAATCCACAAAGTCTGGGTAATGTCCCAGACACCCAGCTTGAGTGCTGGCTGCAGATGCTTGGAGGCTGTGGCCAATCGGCCCCCAAACCCCATGGGACTGACACAGCCCTTATTCCTCAGGGTGACCCTCCGTCTGCCCAGCCTGAGTGGCTCAGATGGGATCCCGTATCGAAGTGTATCTGAATGGCTGGAGTCCATCCGCATGAAGCGCTATATCCTGCACTTCCGCTCAGCCGGGCTGGACACCATGGAGTGTGTGCTGGAGCTGACAGCCGAGTGAGGACGCAGGAGAGGCTGGGCAAGGGAGGGACACTGGTGGGGAGTCTCTGGACTCACAGCCTCCTTCCTTGTCCACAGGGACCTGACACAGATGGGAATCACACTGCCTGGGCACCAGAAACGCATTCTTTGCAGTATACAGGGATTTAAGGACTGAGCGGCTACAGAGGACAATACCCTGTCCAACAGCCCTCCTCAGGGAGCAAGGACAAGCCATGGTCACCCATGGTCAATCACTATGCCTTACCCCTCAACCTTTCAGTAGGCTACTGATGCTGCTCCTGCCTACCCTCAGGAGGACCCTGCAGTGGGCCCCAGAAGCCTCTTTGTGGGTGGGGTAGAAGTAAAGAGGCAATAATGGGAGGGAGGTGGCAAAGGTTTAATATATATACATACACACAGATATATTTTTGTAAATAAACAGGAACTGAGATTTCACCCTTACTCTGATCTTTTTATCCCACTAGCACCTCCATTCCACCCAGGAGGGCTGTAGACACTGCAAAAAAGAGTCACTACTATACATTCTGGAAAACAAGGATTTTTATTTGTAGCTGTAGCCACAACCTGGCAGCATGGGAGGGTGGGCGTGTCCAGGCTGGTCAGCCCAGGCTCTCAGTGGGTGGGGGCATCTCTGGCCCTTAGCAAGCAAAGTACAGAGGCTGCTCAGGGCTGGCCAAGGGTGTGGGCACAGCAGTGAAAGCAGCAGCACTAAACCTGGTGTCCCCTCAGGGATACCTGGAGGATGGTGGGCCATCCCTGCAGGGCAGGCAAGGACTAGAGCCAGGGCTTTAGACCCCAGGGTGGGGACTGTGCATCCTTAGGCATCTTGGGGCCCTGGTTTGGGGCACTTGGGGTCCTGGGGAGGGGTTTGAAATGGAAGGGTAGAAGGTGGGGGTGGTTTGTCTCAGTGGGGTGATCCACAATCTGGAAGGGATCAGTCCTCACTCAGGTCTGGGCTCTGGCAGTGTGGCACTTCCGACAAAGCACATGGCCTTCCAGGGGAAAACAGCCATTGTCATCAGCTTCAATTGATAGGGGCTTCCCACAGTCCTGGGAAGAAGGGAGGATGAGAGAGTCACTGGCCAGGAAAGCCCCTGCCCCATGTGGCTCCATCTTGGAATTAGGAAGGCCAGATGTTTCATGGCCCAGAGCTGGTGTCTTCCCAGCCACACCCTAACCCAGTCTCAGCAGGCCTCTCCGGCAACATGACCAGCAGTCAGCAGTGGGCAGAGCTGCTTCCAAGGTGTTCACTCCTCTGCCTACCCACCACCCCATAAAAAGTCTTTGGGACTTCTATCCTGCCCCATCTCCCTTCTGCCTCTCCCTCTAACCTGATTCCCCATCCCCTGCTTCAGTAAAACATAATGCCCTTCCCACTGCCTTGGTTTATCCATAACTCAAAGTGACCTCATGAAAACCCCACAGCCCCTTTCCTGAAGTGACAGGAAGCAATTGGGCAGGGTGGTCATGACCACCCTCAAAATCACAGCCTGGTTTTCTTCCTGCAGGTTGGCACTTGCCACCACCTGGTTAGGAAGCGGGGCCAGCCCAAGGAGCTCTAAGGGACAGCTGACCTCACACTTGTAACACTTCATGTGGAAGTTCTTGTCCAGAGCGACCACTCTCACGGTCTCATCGCGGCCAGGCTCGGGCATGATGGGCTCAGCACAGACAGAGCACCTTGGGGCATACTGCCTGGGAGGGGTAGAAAGGGTCCAACAGAGTCAGCTTGGGGGTCTCCACCCTCCCATGAGAGTCCTGGTTAAGGACACGAAGGTTGTGCAGCAATGAGGCAGACTTTGTCACCCACACCTACAGGTGAGGAAACTCAACAGCAAGGCCTAAGACCAAGCCACCATTATACCCCTTATCAAGGGGAATTTCCTGTCTCTCTGATGATACCCTCCACCCCTTTGTCACTGGGTTCTTTCCCACTGGATGCTTGCTCTCCCATCCATACTGCAGCTCCTGCAGAAAGCATGCCCCACGGCACCGCCCTCCTATCCTGAGGTCCCCAACCTTTGACTCCCTATCCTCAGATGGGATATGATGTCCAGGCCCCCCCACATGGTATCCTGAAAGTGCACACCCCAAACTCTGTCACAGGTAGTGGTCAGATTCTACAGTTTCCCACAGCCCATTAGCCACATTATGAGATTCTGCTACAAGCCTGACAAAATAGCCATCTTGCGATCACTGTCCCTGGGGAGAAACCAGTGTTCCAAACAGCTGATCTCCAAAAGAACTTTTAGAATCCAGCTTGGGTGTGCGAAGAAGTCACTCTAGCACACTTTGCTAGACCCCAGACACATGCTGACAATAACCATGGGAAGGGAAAGGCTAGGGTGGCCCCAGCCAGTAATGGAACCAGCTACCCAGGCCTAAGGCCATTGGACAGCCAAATAGGGCTGGTCCCTGCTATCTACAGAAAGCCTGAGGTTTGGGTGTCTCCTGGGGCCAGGGCAGCAACCTGCTACTAGACCAAGCACGGAACCCAGAGAATAGCCCAGAAGGTGGGTAGGTGGGTTCTCACTTGTGGTAATCAGGGACGCAGTGGGGCCGGTTGGCCTGGTCTACAATGAAGGAGGTGCCCTCCAGGGCACAGGCGCAGACCACGCAGGTGAAGCACTGTGGGTGGTAGGCTTTGCCAGTGGCCCTCAGCATGCGGTCAGTGATGGGCTGCCCACAAGTATTGCACTTCTCCAGGGTGTCCTGAGGAGGCAGCAGGACAAGTTTGTGGATGGAGAACCAGCACCACCCAGCCAGCTTCCACTGCCCCTGCCCAGCCCCAGCCAGCCCCACTCACAGTGTAGCAGCCCTCACAGTAGGGCGCCCCTTCCAGGCTGTAGAACTGCTGCCCCTGGAGCTGCTGTGAGCACTGTCGGCAGGTGAAGCAGGCGATGTGGAACAGCTGCCCCAGTGCGCGAACGGCAGGCTGTGCCCGGGCTAAGGGCTGGTGACACTGGCCACAGAACTCTGGGAAGGCAGAGAAGACAGCAATAAATGAAAAGGATGGAAGCTTCTGAAGTATCAGCTGCTCGGAGTGGAGGGTACAACAGGCCTGGCCCCCATAGTATAAGGAGGGGAGAGGTGTTCCGGTGAGGGGGAGGACTCACCACTGACAGCCACATTCTGCCTCTGAGGATGCTCCATATCCTGCATCAGCTGCTGGGTCAGCTGCTCCAGCTCCTCCACCTCCTTCAGAGTCAGGGGTCCTGGTGCCCCAGGAGAGTGCACCTGAAACCCCAACACTGTTTTTACACTTGAGAGTCACTTCTTCCATAAACCCTCCCAGGCCCTCTTACCCCCCTTCTTGAGGGACTTGGCTTCCAGGCACTTAGGTTTGCCCCTTAAAGCTCCTTCTCCCTCCCTGCCCGACCCTAGCACCACACAAATAATGAGGGGAAGGGGATGACCTGAGCTTGAATCTTGCTCAGTGAGACTATTCCACCAGCCTTGCCCGGCCCCCATCCCCCAGCAGTCACAGACAGGCCAGAGCAACTGGGCAGACGAAGGCCACATACACAGCAGCCCAGGTCACTAAAGCACTGGACACGCCAGGGCCACGCATCACCTTCACAAAGCATGCTCAGACACGGCCCCCACAGAAGAGAGGCACGCAGTGGGGCGCACACACGCAGCACACACACCTACCCGTCCCATGTGCTGCCGAGCAGCCCCTGTCAGCATGAGGACACAACACAGGTGGGAATCACAGGTTAAATCCCTGGAGCTGTCTACAGCGGTCTGGTCCCCAGCCCAATCTCCCTTCCCAGCAGGCCTCAGAGAAAGTTCGAAAGGCCACTCCCTCAGCCAGCCCACTCCTCCCACATAGGGGACCCTGAGTGTGGAGAACCGGGGTGGGGAGAATGGAGGGTGGAAGTTAGAGCAAGGGTATTGACCCTGAGAACTCCGAGAGGTCCTCAGACCTGTACCAGCAGTCCTTGAGACACCCCCACAGGAATGTAGGAATGTGAGGGGCTCTCCTCTATGACTGCAGAGTCCACCCAGGTCTGCAGTCCCCTCACCTTCATTCCAGTAACACCTGGAACCTCCCAAGCCTCCCTGCTACCTCCTCCTCGCTCTATGCCACCAACAGCCCTGTCTGCATCCACAGATCCACAGAAGTCTCCCCTGCCCTCCAGCTGCCACTTTCCCTTACAATCCTGTCATCTGCTACCCTTAACCAACACATGTTCCTGTAATCACCTGTTCTTCCTCCAGTCTTCCCCTCCTAGCATCTTGGGGACAGAGTAAAGGGGCTCAGTCAGCCTTTGCTCCCTGGTGCCACTTCAAAAGCCTGGTCCATTTTTGGAAGCATGAAACCTTCACCTGTGTCACTGACCTGTGGGTACATTCTATCCAGCTGCTGTTCCTTCTGCAGGCCAGTGTCAGTGCCACTGCTTCACTATCCACTGTCAGACTTCTGGCTCCTCAATGTCCTTCCACCTCAGTCACCTTCCACCCCATGATACCCTGGACCTAAGATTTACCTCTAAGTCCCTGGCCAACCATCATCTGCCTGTCCTCCTCACTATTCATACCTACCAAGAGAATCCACTCAGAAAGGCTTTCATTCCCCTAGCCCCAAGCCCACCCCTGGGCCTTGTCCACCAAATCCCTAGCTGGGCCCATGGCAATCACTCCTGCAAGGCTCCTGCTGTCCCTCCTGCCTCCCATAGCTATCTGGCCCAATCTCCAACCCGAGGTCAGGTCAATGCCCGCTTCCTATTTCTGCCTCCATGCTGCAGAAAGTAGGTGGGGCGCTCACTGAGCACTGCAGTGAGCTCAGGATGCTGCGGCGCCCTTCCCAAGCAGCTGTTCCAAACCTCATCTCCTGCGCCCCAAAGCCTCATTCCTCCCCAGTGCCCCTGACCTCACCTTGATCATGAGCCAGTGCCACTCCTTACCCTCCTTCCTCTCTACTGCAAACACTCCTGTGACCCTGCCCTTGCTTCTGGATGCCTCTGGAGGTGGGGGGCAGAGGTGTCCCCATGCTCTCCCCAGGGCTCAGGGCCACAGTCTTGCCTCATGCCCCGCTCTCCTCCTCCAGGCTGCTTCCTCCTGTGCACCCTCCCCAGACTCTGAAAATCACACACACCACACCTCACGCTCATACACACTCACTCTCTCTCACACACACACACAATCACAATCACATACTCTGGCATATACACACATTGCACTCAAATTCACACAATCACACAGACATACTTACACATACATATACACCACATACACCACTCACACATTCCCATTCACATATACACACACTTTCACACGCACTCTCACACTCACACAGTCCTCCTCCTCCCTGCTACACCACAAGCCCGATTTCTCTCCACCCACTCACTCTTCCACTCATTACATTCTGTCCCCACCACAGGGCACAGACCAGCCACGACAAAGCCATTTATGATTTCCTGAGAGTC